GTGCCCTGCCCCTAGCTGGAACCATGTGTTTTCACGCAGAGAGGTATCTTACATGGTGGTCTCGAGCTGGAGCCACGTGTGTTCATGTGTCCAGGCCACCCAGAAGGGGTATCTAACATGGAGACCCCGAGCTCAGAGCGCTGGTGGGAGAATAGCTGGCGCCTCGATGCCTTGTATCCTTGTATCCTCCTCCTCCTCTTCTCTCTTGCTCTTCCTCGTGTGCGCCAGCTTGTCGTTTGACGCCAGATCCGTGGCTGGATCACCTGAAACATACACTATTTCGACATCGCAAAGGAAACCCATCCTAACCTCCCCCCTGAAATGGTTGCGCGTTTGATGGGCAGTCGGCAGATGTCTCTGCTCTGGATGCTTCCAGAAGGGCTTCGGAGAAGCAACAGGGCGCCCAAGCGTGCCCATGGCCTCACGAGCGCCCTCAGAGGACGCGACCTCCATAGGGGGCCGTGGGGCCCAGGGGAGTCAGCCCGCCTCCTAGCTGGCCCGTAGATAGCCCCAAGGCGGCCGAAGTGGATTCCACGTCGGGCCGAGAGAGAAATTCGAAGACACCCCAAGATGGCTGAAAGAGGGGCCTCGAGGGGCCCAGACGCTCCAAGACTGCCCCAATACTCTGGAACGGGGCTCCAGGATGGCTCGGCGGAACGCCCCGGGAGGCGAGACTTGCCAGAAACTTCTTCTGTTCTCTCGCACAGCCCTGGCCCCAGACTGAGATGCGACCGAGAGGGTCCAAGACTGCGCCTGGGGCCCCGTGAGGGCCCAAGAAGGCCCCAAGATGATATCGAAGGCCGATGCCGATGCCAATGCCGACGGCGACTCCGCCGACTCCGATGCCGACGCGACGCCGTCGCCGATGCCCATGCCGATGCCGACGGCGATGCTCACGCCCACGCCGCCGCCGCCGCCGCCGCCGACGACGACGACGACGATCGCGCTCGCCGCTCGCGGGCCGCAGAGGTCGTCCAGGCGAGGTCGTCCAAGGCCGCCTCTATCCTCAGCGACACGAACTACAGGAACTGGAGGGTTCCCCCTTCTCCTCATTCTCACCCTCCTCTCCTCCTCCTTCTCCTCCTCCTACTTTCCTCCTCCCTCCTCCCTACTCCCCACCTCCTCCTCCTCCTCCTTCTCCTCCTTCTCCTCCTCCTCCTCCTCCTCCTCCTCCCGACGACACGGACAGAGCCCGCCGTGGCGCCTTCGACGAACTCGAGACGCTCTCCGAGACCCTGCACCAGTGGGCCTCCGACTGGCTCCCGTCGCTCTACTTCGATCCTCAGCGTGATGACAAAGCGGATTGGCGTGCATGGTGTGAGGAGTATGTTCTTATATGTTCTTCGCGTACTCCGTCGAGACAGCTTTCTGGTACTATTCCGAGGTGTATCTGACCTGCAGCTGCGCAATCGAGCCAGTCGTATTTGTTCAGACGCTTGGTTCTTCACAGTGACGAACCGCCGCCAAACGGCAACGTGTTCCTCGGCACGCGCACATCAGAAGTTCAACACCGTTTCTCTGCCTCCGCTGCTGAAGATCGTGCTCGGCGCAGTCTGATACTGGACGTCGATCTCCAAAACGACAACTCCGACTACCTTCCAGATCTCAGCGAGGACATAACCGAGCAATACGCGGACAGCAACGACATGACTATGTTCTTCCAACTGCCGTTTTCCATGCGAAACTCGTGGCGTCGGCTACGACCTCATGTTGCCCAACTACCGCCTTCTCGTTTCTGGCCAGTGATGAAAACCTTGGCTGGCGGGTGGGCCACCTCGCATCGTCTTCATGTACAACCTGTTCGCCGCAGCTGCGTCTTCGGCTGCGACCCCGAGCTCAACCCCGACTCGTTCGCCCACTATTTGGTCTGCAGGCGCATGTGGCATCATTTATCTCTGCCACGTGGTCGCCTTCATCAATGTGTTCTCGCCCGCCGGGGGCTTCACGACGTCAACTACGCCATCAATGGCGACCCTGACAACTACATCGATCATGTGCTGGCGCGCATGGCCGTCGCCTATCGCGCATACCACAACATCCTGGACATGTTCTCCTTCGGCACGGCCGTGGACTACATCAGCTACCACACCCACATCAACGTGGTGAAGGCCGCTCGCTTCGCTCTGAGGCTCGGCTCCAGCACGTTCGGCGGCGCCCTGTGCGCGGCCGGCTTTGTAGCTCCGGGGACGAATGTGGACGTTCGCACCGTCAGCGCGCAACGCATAAGGAAGAAAGAGGAATTAGAAGGCAGACGAAGAAGGAAGAAGACGAAGCAGATGGAGCCGAGGGAAAGTGACATGAATGGGCATGATTGGGGACACAGCGCCAGGAAGACGTTCAGACGACTACAAGACGAAGCGACAGCAGGACCAGCAGCAGGAGTCGAATGGTTCCCCAATGAAATATATGCGGAAGCAGAAGCGAAAGGAAAAATATCAATGGACCAGCGTCCGACGACGCACGAAAGCAGTAAGAATGAAAGACTAAGAAGCAGAAGAGAAGAAGCTGGTAGCAAAGACAACGAAAGCGACGGGCATTCCTCCGCCGCCTTCCCACCTGCAACTCCTAAGAATACTTCATATATATATGGCGCTAGTCCATTATTCTCCTAACCTACCTTCCTCCTCTTACCCCCTCACCTCTCTCTTTCCCCCCCCCCCCTGTAACACTTCCTCCTCCTCCTCCTCCTCCTCCTCCTGGCAGCGGGGCCCCGGAGACCCCGAGTCCGAGGGGATCTCCGGGGCGCTCGGGGGGCGCGCGCGGGCGCTTTCCCGCAGCCCCTCTCGCCGCGCTGGCGCCCGCTCTGACCTTGGCCGCGACCGCGGTGTCATGGTAGGGCACCAGGACGACACCTCCCGGCCTGGGAATGGGCAACAGGGCGCAGTGCCCAGTCCCCGGCCGGATAGCCGCCCTCTTCCAGCCAGCGCTTGGCCGCGAGCGCTGCGCGGGGCGAGGGGCGCCAGCGCGCCCGCGGCGGCCCCCCCAGCGCCGTCGCGGTCGCCTGCTGCGCCCGGCCGCGCGCCCCCAGGCCACAGGCGGGCGCGGCTTGCTCGTCAGCCAGCTCTCGGCCGCGCCCCGCTCCTAGGGCAGCCAAGCGCCCTGTCGGGCAGTTCGCCTTCGTGCCTGGCCCCGCGCAGCTGCTCCCTCGGCGCCCCCAGCTCCCAGACCAGCGCCGCGCCAGCTCCCCCGCGCCCAGAGGCCGCGCCAGCGCTGCCAGCGGCCCCCGCTGCCTCGTCAGCGCCGGCCTCTTTGTCTCCCAGAGTCAGGGCGGACCGCCGCGCTCAGTCCGCCTAGCCCCGTCTGGCGCGGCGCCAGGGCGGACCCGGGCCGCCTGGGTCCGCCAACAAGCGTCGCGCTGCGCCCGCGGGCAGGGCGGCCGTGCGGCTAGCTTCCGCGCTGCTGCGTTGCAGCGCGGCGGCCAAGCGTGAGCTGCCGTCAGGCTCGCCAGGTCGCCTGCTGCCCAGTCGCAAGAGGGCCTGCGCCTCCTTCCCGGCCCGCCCGTGCGTCTCCAAGGCGAAGGCGACCAGGGCTGGGCCTGGGTAGCGCCTGTGCTTCCGCGCCTCCGCCGCCGCCGCCGCGGCCCCGTCGCGCGCGGCGCGGCTCCGTCCAGCGGCCGTGCCCGCGCCCAGAGACGCGTCGGTGATCACCACGTCGGCGTAGGTGGCCCCCGCGACCGCGTCGGTGAAGGCCACGTCCAGCCTCCAGAGTGCCGTCAAGGCGCTGTCTGTCCCAGGCCGGGACGAGTTGTTCCGTCCTCACGCCCGTGGCGCCCCGCGCCGCCAGCCAGCGCGCGAGCCAGTCCCGGACGCCGTCGTGCTTCAGCACAATGCCGCCCCCGACAGGGCAACCCCGAGGATGCCCAGGGTCTGCGCGCAGGTCGGCCCCGCAGCAGGAGCCGTCGGGGCGGCGCCGGAGGCAGGTTGCGCTGGCCCCTGTCGGCAGCGGCAGACGGAGCCGCCACCGCAGGGCGGAAGTGCTCGTCTGCGAGGACGTGGTCTGGCTCCGTGGGCGGAAGCAGCCAGCTCCCAGCGCCTTTCCCGCTGGCCGAGCGGAGGCTAAGCCTGCTCGGCGGGCGGCAGGGAGGCGAGCAAGGCGGCGCGGCGCCGCTCCTGCGCGGTCGCGCTCCGTCGCAGCGCGAAGCCAGGCAGCCGCGCCTCCGCCAGCCGAGCGCCCCGCCTCCGAAGCAGTCGCCAAGGTCCGGGGGCAGGCAGCGGCGAACGCCTCGAGGCTCGGCAGCCCGAGCTCTCGGCGCACATCGGCCAGGGACGCCAGCCAAGAGTCCGCGAAGGCGGGTTGGCGGCGCTCCGCGAGGCTTTGCAAGTCGAGCCCCCCGTCAGCCAAGGGGAGGCAAGCCTGCTCGCGCGCCCCCGCGGTCAAAGGGTGCCCAAGCACGTCTTGCAGGTGCCCCAAGACCCGGCCGCCGTAGTCGGCGCACCAGGCCTCGTCGAGCAGGTGTGCGCGCGCGTGGTGCAGGGCGGCCCCGTTCGCAAAGGCGCGCAGGAGCGTCAGTTCGTCCTGCGCCCGCAGGCCGTGCCAGCGCAAGTCTGGAGCGCCGTCGGGTAGGCAGCCAGGTGCCGGGTCGCCGTTTCTGGTGTGGCCGCCACGCCGAGGCTGGCCGCTGCCAGGTCGCGGTCGTCGCCGAGGCCCTCGGCCGCGGCCCCGCCGAGGAAGGGCGGGCGGCTGCCCACGCACGTGAGCTCGGGCGTCTCCGCTTCGGCCAGTGTCTGCAGCAGCTGCAAATTGTGCGGGTTCCACACCCTGGTCTTGCCCTCGTTCAGTCGCAGCCCGCGCGCTGCGTAGAGCGCCGGCGCGGCTGCCTTGGCTGCGGCGAGGGCCTCTGGCGTGCCTACGAGGTAGACGTCGCCCAAGAACGCCACCACGATGGCGTCCGTGTCCCGCCACAGCGCGTGCTCCAGGTCCTCGTAGAGGGTCGCCGTGGCCGTGGCGAAGAAGGCCGGCGAGAGGGGACAGCCTTGGTCGAGCCCCCGCTCTGCTGTCACCGCGGTGACGGCGCCTGAGAGGTGCGCGCCGTGCGTGGTCGCCTCGCCGTACCACGCAGCCGCGAGGCGCGCGAGGGGCGGGAGCCTGCGCGAGACCTCGCGGACGACGACGTCCCGGTCGACCTCGTTGAAGGCGTTCGCCACGTCAAGAGACAGCACTGCCCTCTGGGGTGCTCTCTCGACGGAGCAAGCCACCACCTAATGCAGCAGCTCGACGCCGCTGCGCCGCCCCACGCCGTACTGGCATGGCCCCGCCGCTTGGGCGATGAGCTCCCTGTGCTGCGTGGTCGCCGCCTTCGCCGCCATGCGGGGCGGGGGTTCCCCACAGGCGAGGGGCCGCACCCCGCCCTGTGGCTTCTGGAGCGGGATCAGACGTCCGCCCAGCAGCGCTCGCGCTGTCGCCGCGGGCGCCTCGCCGCGCAGGATGCAGCCTAGCACCTCCACCAGCGCCGCCTTGCCTTCCGCGTGGCCGCGTAAGGTCGCCGAGTGTTCAAAACGTCCGCCGGTGAGCCCTGGGCCGGAGTGCCGCGGGAACTTTTTCCCGGAAAGGGCTTAAGCCCAGGGTTCTCTTTTAGTTTGTAAACTTAGTCCCCCGGTGCCTGCTTGAAGGAGGCCGGCGAATTGCCGGCGAATTTTTTCCCTGATAAATAACGAGGTCGAAGGAGGCCGGCGAATTTTTCCTTGATAAATAACGAGCCCGAGAATTAAAATTAGAGGATGTCTCGAGCGAAACGCTTGTTTTTGAGGCCGGCGAATTAAAATTTGAGGATGTCTCGAGCGAAACGATTGTTTTTGAAATCCCGACCTCACCACACCCCAGCACGCACGACCACGCCCCAGCACAACCACCCCCCAGCACGACCACCCCCCCAGCACGACCACACCCCAGCACGACCACCCCCCAGCACGACCACACCCCAGCACGACCACTCCCTAGCACGACCACCCCCCAGCACGACCACCCCCCTAGCACGACCACCCCCCAGCACGACCACCCCCCAGCACGACCACACCCCAGCACGACCACACCCCAGCACGACCACACCCCAGCACGACCACACCCCAGCACGACCACACCCCAGCACGACCCGATCGATAAATCACAGGGTGCGGAGCACCCCAGCACGAACCCACCCCAGCACGACCCCACCCCAGCACGACCCCACCCCAGCACGACCACGCCCCAGCACGACCACGCCCCAGCACGACCACGCCCCAGCACGACCACCCCCCAGCACGACCACCCCACCAGCACGACCACCCCCCAGCACGACCACCCCCCAGCACGACCACACCCCAGCACGACCACACCCCAGCACGACCACACCCTAGCAAGACCACACCCCAGCACGACCACACCCCAGCACGACCTCACCACAGCACGACCACACCCCAGCACGACCACGCCCCAGCACGACCACGCCCCAGCACGACCACGCCCCAGCACAACCACCCCCCAGCACGACCACCCCCCCAGCACGACCACGCCCCTGCACGACCACCCCCCAGCACGACCACACCCCAGCACGACCACTCCCCGCTCAACGACCACCCCTTTCCAGCCCGCCCACCCCCCAGCACGACCACCCCCAGCACGACCACACCCCAAGCACGTCACTCCCCAGCACGGACCACACCCCCGTGGAATGTTTCGTGGCGTGTCTGGTTGAGTGGTTGCCTGTTCGTGGGGTGTCTCGTGGATTGTTTCACGGGGTGTCTCGTGGAATGTTTCGTGAGGTGTCTCGTGGAATGTTTCGTGAGGTGTCTCGTGGGATGTTTCGCGGGGTGTCTCGTGGGATGTTTCGTGAGGTGTCGCCCAGTTGGGTATCGTGAAAACGTGACCATGCTGCACATGTCTATATCCCTTTCCGGGTTCGTGGGTCCATCATGTTGAGGGATCGCGTCTCCTCCCAGTCGCCCGCCTGCGGCAGCAGCGGCTCGCGTGCCCGTGGCCCGTCTGCTAGGGGGAAGAGCGCGGTGAGCTGGGAGCCCGCGCCAGCCCCAGAGGCTAGTTCCCCTGGCCCCCCCGCGGCCGCGGCGGCCCAGGACACCTCCCCGAGCACCAGCAGCTCGTGCACCCGGCGGGCCTGCGCCGCCAGGTCTGGCGGGCGACGGCCGCCCCCGTCGCCGTCGCCAAGGCGCGCCGTCGCCGCTCAGAGGCTGGCCCAGTCGCCCGCCCACGCCTGTCGGATCCTCGCTGTGAGAATCTTCGCGGCAGACGTGGCCTCCCGCTCGTCACCACTCCCGGGGGGATGGCAAAGAGCAGGCGCGGCAAGAGCAGCAGTCGCGCCCAAGCGCCCTCCCGGGCAGGCTGCGCAGCGACCGCTTTGAGTGCGGTTGCCAGAAGGTCGCCCACGGCTGCGGCAAGGCTGTCCTTCTCCTCCTACTTTCCTCCTCCCTCCTCCCTCCTCCCTCCCTCCCTCCCTCCCTCCCTCCCTCCCTCCCTCCCTCCCTCCCTCGGGGGAAAAGGGGGGCGAGGCGAGGTCCGAAGCACCCCGGGAGCAACTGGGCCCTTGGGGGGACGGCCAGCGGCGGCTCCCGGGTGCCAGAAACCACGACACCGCGGCAGGCTGCACGGGCAAACGAAGGAGGAGGAGAAGGAGGGAAGAGGGGGGCTGCGCGCTGCATGCAGGGGCGGCCGGCCGGCAGGGAAGGAGGGCAGCGGGGAAGGGGGAAGGGAGGGGGAGGAAGGCGGGGGGCGGGGGGCGGGGGCCCCGCCGAGGCACTGGCGTGGGTCGGCGTCTTGTCGGCCTGGAGGCGTCGCCGCCGTGTCGGGGGCGTCGTCGGCGCGGGCCGTCCCCGTTGTCACGCTGAGGGCGTCGGCGCGGGGCGGCGGGGGCGGGGGCGTCGTCGTCGAGCTGGTCGCCGAACTGGCGGCGGTGCGGCGGCCGCGGTGGTCTGCGCGGGCGCCGAGGTCGCGGCGGTCGTGCTGGTTGTCCTGGCGTCTGCGACGGAGACCGTTCGACAATCAGGTGGTTGTCGTGGTGGCCGTGGTGGCCGTATCTTGGTGGTCAGGGCAGTAGGCTGGCCGCAGTAGTAGCAAGCGTGGCCCGGGCGTTCACTGCCCAAGCGCACTCAGAAGCATCTCGGCGTTCCCCGTGTGCAGCGTCACGGAGATCCCCCGCCAGAGACTGCTCAAGAGCTCCGAGCGCTCCTCGTCCCCGAGACCGCCGCCGTAGCTCCGCACGAAGGCGGCGGCCTCTTCTGAGGGCCGCCCCCCGGCCTCGAAGACCATGGGGACGAGCTCCAGGCCGGGCCTCGGGGGGTACCGAGCTCGCTTATCCTCGACCATCTGGGCCGCCGCGAGGCCACACCTCCGGGACCGGGCCTGCCTGCGCGGGGCATAGGTGGAGTATGCGCAGGTCACGGCCCAATCCACGTGGATGTGGTGCCCGGTGTTTTGGTCGATGGTGACGACGTCGAGGACAGCCTCCTGGACGCGTCCGTCAGGGAGGCGCCGGTCCCACGCAGGGATCCGCTGCTCTGTTGGGGCCGCGTGGCCAGTGAGCTCGGCGTGGCGCTTGGCGTGCATGTCCCGGAGGCGGTTGTGTCTCCCAGTCCGGGAGCCCCCAACCTCGCACGCCCTGGCGTGCCAACCCTTCCTGTCGAGTAGCTCGTTGCACCGCTGCCCGGTGCTCTTGCACTTGTGTTGGCACCGAGCCCCCTCTGGGCAGACGGGCATGTCGAGCCGCATCTTCAAGTTCACGAGGAAATGCTTGTCCGGCTGCGCAGCGTCCCCAGCGCCCCGGGGCAACAGGAACGAGCCCGCCCCGGTGCCGCCGTTCGACAACAGAGAGAGGCGGCCGTCCTCGTCCAGCAGCGTGTCCAGGAGCCGCTTCTTGTTGGCCTCCGAGGCAGCTTTGCCCCAGCACCCCTGGCGTTTGTGGTGCGGCTCCCGCAAGTAGTCCAGCAAGTTCAGCGGCTCGTCCCCCAAGGCCCCAGCTTCCCGGAGCGCCCTTTCCGCCTGGGACAGCGCCGTGAGGGTGCGCGGACAGCGGGCGTCGAGTTCCTCCCTGGTGCTGATCCCTAAGCAGGCGGCCACGTCGTGGAGGCAGAGGGCCCAGCTTGCGGCGTAGGCGGCCGGAGCTGTCTGGGAAGCGGAAGGGAATGCGCATCCCCCGCCCGGGAGGCGGAGCGTGGCCCGGAGGCGCTGCGCGTCATTGAGGGGATCCTGGAGGAGGTGCTCAAGAGCCGCGAACAGCACGTTGTCGAGCTCCCCGACCCATCCGGTCTGCAGATTCGCCCGGAGGTGGTGTGTGACGCATCCCTGGCCGTACGTGCGCAGCAGCGTGTAAGAACGTCTCGGCCGTCAAACCAGCGGCTCGCAGCTCCTGGAGCCGAGCGGTAAATTCCCGAGCCCGGCTCACAGCGGCGGCGCCGTCTGCCCCAGCGTGCACCAGAACCCTGTCTTCTTGTTGCTCCAGCCAGGGCGCGGCATTCCCGAGGCACTGCAAGTTCGCAGCGCGGTGGGCACTGATGCCAGGCGGGAGGGGGGCTTGTGGGTCCGCCGTCCAGGCCTGCGTCTTTGCGGGGTTGACGGTAAGGCCGAGGCGCGCGAGCTCCTCAGGAACCAGCTGGGCTGCCGCAGTGGCGTGTTCTGGCGGAGAGAATACCATGATGTCGTCCAAGTAGGAAAACACCCTGCACTGAGGAGACAGCTGTCGAAGCCTCACATTGATCGCGTCAAGAGCCCCTGCCACGGTGATCGCGAAGAGAGCCGGCGACAGCGGGCACCCCTGGTCGACTCCGCTAGTGGCCCGCACGAGCGCAGCAGAGTTGTTGTTGTCCCAGAACAGATGCGTGGTCTCGCCGCCGAGCCAGCTGTGCGCGGCCTTGAGCAGCACGGGCGCCCTGACACGCAGGCCGTTGAGGATGTGCTGCCTGGGGAGGCTGTTGTACGCGTTAGTACAGTCGAAGGCAAGAACGACGGCCCGTGGGTCCGCCTCCGTCAGCGCCGAGATGCACTTGTGCATCACCTCGCACCCTCCAGGTTTGCCAACAGCATACTGGTGCGGCCCACACGCGCTCTTTATGTCATCTGAGAAGACGTCGCAGGCAGCCTTGGCTGCGAGGCGGCGCAGCACGCTCCCACACGCAATGGGCCGGACTCCCCCGTTGCGCTTGCGGAGAGCCACCAGCCGCGTGCCGAGGTTCGCCCGCTTGGCCTGCGGGGACAGCAGGCCGTACAGAAAGAGGACCGTTACTTTAGCGACGGCGTCGAGTGCTTCCGAGTCCTTCAGGAGAGTGCGCCAGTGTTCGAAGCGCCCCCCGATGGGCCCAGGTCCAGACATCCGCGGGCTGCGGGCGAGGTGGCGCTTAACTGCCGTGACCAGGTCGTCGTTGGTGTCCGCGCCCGGGAGCGCGAGGTCGGCCGCTGCTGGCGGGGCCGCTCCTGCGGGGAAGAGCGCCTGCAGGTCGGCGAGAGCATCTTCGCCCGTGGCCACAGTGGCCGG